GTTTTTTGGCAAAAACAGCTGCCTCCCCGACGTGCTTAGCACCCAGGCACCTGACTCGCCTGACCTCGCTCCCTGAGACTTCTTTTTGTTTCCGCGAATGAAGAGGGACATGAAAGGACAGCGGTTTGACGATGGAGAAGAGGTGAAGAAAATAACGAGGGAACAGCTGCTGACCCAGAAGGACACAAACGAGCCGAACCTGCCCAAGACCTGTGATCTCGACCTCTCAGACCCTGAGGACCTCCTCAACTCCAAGTTGGTCATCTGTCCGGATGAGGGCTTTTACAAAAGTGAGAAGCTTGTGTCCAGTTTTAAGGTGGGTCAGGGTTACCCACATGACCCCCGCCCCCCGAGGTGAAGTGTGAAACAATGCTTTATCATCCCACCATCCACCTCGAGGGCAATGGCTGCCTCAACATGCTCAGAGATGATTGGACGCTGGCCCTCGTGATAAACTCCATCACTGATGGCCTGCAGCATCTCTTCTTGGAGCCCAGCCCCGAGGACCCCCTGAACAAGGAGGCTGCCGAGGTGCTGCGGAACAACCGACGACGGCTGTTTGAGCAGAATGTGCAGCGCTCCATGCGGGGAGGCTGCATCGGATCCACCTACTTTGAGCGCTGCCTGAAATAGGGTTGGCGCCCATCCCACCCCCGCCAGAGCCACCAGCCCCGGTGTCCCCTTCAGATATTTATTGGGGGCCACAGGTGGGAGACATGGGGCAGCCGGTGGGGTGTTGTCCCCCTCCCTGGCCTTGCCTCCCCTCCCTGCCACCTGCCCCTCATTTTATTTATTTTTTAACCACCATGTGATTAAGGTTGGCGCTGCCTCCCCCGACCTACTCAGCGATGGGAAATGAATTGGCTTATCTAGCCCCACGCTGGGTGCTTCCCAACCCTCACTCTGGGTACTCGGGTGGGTAGGCAAGGGGCCTGTGTAGCTGGGACCCCAGAACCCTGCCCTCTGCCACCGGCAGCCCACCAGGGTATTAAAGGGGAATGTGACTGAAAAACTAAAAAAAGAAAGAAAATAACAAGGGAGGTGCTGCCAGCCATCCAAACTGATGAGTTTGAAAAATGTTTCCAAGAGTGGAATTGCAGATTTGACAAATGTATCAAGTGTCACGGAGAATACTTTGAAGGTCATAGGTTGTTTTGTAAAAAAATTTAAATACATAACTTTGGGGTTAAAAAACATTGAGGAAGGTGCAGGGCTCGGCTGTTTCCTTCTGTTGTGCATGGGGTCGCTGTGGGTCAGAACCGATCCGATGCTACCCACCAACACCCATGCTGAACTCAGAGGTGTGCTGTGTGCCTTCAGGGAGTCCCCTCAACCTCTCTTGGGTCCCCAAGTCTTTTGCTGTCCCTGCCTGCAGAGCGTGGCCCGGCTCCCCTCCATTACAGCTGCGTTCTTCTGGGTGGACTAGAGAAACAAAATTCATAATAAGAGAGAACTTTATATGAAGAGTAATTGTGTATTAAGAAAACATCCCAGGCCTAGTCCAGATCAAGTCCATAAGTCTGATATTAGCCCACATGTCCATTACCAGTGGGAGGAAAGTCTTGTGGATCCAGTGGTGGTAGAAGCATCTCAGTGCTGGCGTGGGTCTCCACGTGGCTCCTCCAGCTCCAGGGCTCTAGCGTAGCTCTGTGTGTCTCGTCAGCAGAAAGGTGAAGCAGGGTGTGCAAGCCTCCAAATGAGGTCATCAAGCTGGGACCTGATTGACAGGCCAGACTCCACCCTTTCCTCAAGTTGACAAGAGACTATGTAACCCCCACCACCGCCCTTCCCCACCCCTGCAGGGACAAGGCCCAGGAGCTCTCCAATTGGATCCACCAGCTGGAGTCTGAGAAGTTCGACCTGATGGAGAAGATGAAGCAGCAGAGATATGAGGTGAGATCCCTCCCCGCAGGGGAGGCCGGGCTGGGCAGGGTGGACCAGTATGGGTGGGCCGGCCTGGCCCTCCTGGTCCCTGGGCCTCCTGACAGCCAGCTCCCTCCTGTCTCCCCAGATCAACGTGCTGTACAACCGCATTAGCCACGCCCAGAAGTTGTAAGTGAGACTAAGGTTCTGAGCCGGCCCCACCTCCATCACCCTCCTTCTGACTCGGGATTTCTCCTCCCTCCTCCCTCCCACCATCTCCCTCCTCTCTCTCCTTTCCTTTCTGTTTTCCTCCCCTCTCCTCCTCCCTCTTCTCTGTCTCCATTTCTCCTTCTGTCTCCCTCTCAGTCAGTGCCTCTCTCTCCTCTCCCTTTGCCCTTATTTTTCCTACTGTGTCTGCAGATCCCTCTCTGTGTGTGAACATCCCACTCTCTGATGGCTTCTGCTTGCCTCTTCCTCCCCGCTCCACCCCGCCCTCGTCCTCCCCCTAATCCACTGGACTGTACCGGCCTCCTCCAGGGCTCTGGGCTTCCCTGAATCTGGAGTTCTTGCCTGCCCTTCGGCAGTTTCCCTCCTCGAATCTAGTTTGTCTTCTGTGCGTCTTCCTTTATTCGTGTCTATATTTGGGGTGTGCGCTCCGTCTGTGTTCTTAAATCGCCCTGGTGGCAGTCGTGGTCATTCGTTGGGCTGCTCACCTCACCGGCCGAGGGTTGGCACTGCCAGCCGCTGGGCACTGCACAGATCATCTTGATGTGATTGAGCTATTGAATTAGGTGATATGTGGATGAAGAGCCAACCAAACTGTTACAGAGAGCGAGAAATAGAGAGATACAGTCTCAGAAACCCACAGGGGCCACTCTACTCTGTCCCGTAGGGGCCTTGAGTCTGCATCGACTCTGAGGCAGTGAGTTTGCTTTTGAGTTTTGGAAGGAACCTTGGTGGCAGAAGGGTCTATGAATGGAGCAAGCTAAACACAAGGTCGGCAGTTCTACGCCACCAGTTTGCTCCAAGGGGGGGGGGGGAGTTAGTCTCAGCAAACAAAGCTTCTCTAAGAATACAGATATGTATGTGTGTGTGTACAGTCTCAGGACCCCCAGGGGCAGCTCCACCCTGTCCTATGGGGGTCGCGGTGAGTCAGAATGAACTGGACAGCAGTGAGCTTGGTTTTCAGTGAGGCTACTATCCGTTGAGGTTGTTCTCTGTTGACTATGTATCGATCTATGCGCTTTCTAAGTATCTATTCTCTGCGTCACGACCTATGTATCTTCCTAAAATATACATTGTATTTATTTTTCCTCCTCCTGCCTCCTGTTCCCTCCCCCCACCCTGTTCTTGTCACGGCTTCTCTGTCACCATCAAGATCTGTTTTCCTTCTTGCTTTCTTCCCTTTATAAGTGAGACCCCATAGCCCCGTCCTCCTTTCTGTCCCCGACTCACCCTCTGGTTCCCTCCCTGGCCCTCTGTCTCTCCTCCCCTCCCGGTCTCGGTGGTCTCCGGCTCAGGCAGCCTCCATGTCTGCACTTACTGGGGGTGCTCTCTTCCTGAGCATTTGCTTCTCTTCTTGTCCCCTCTGTGTCTATGATTCAGTCTCCCCTCTCCCCCCTCTCTTCTTCTCTCTCTCTCTCACTCCCACCTACCATATTCCACATACACCCACATACCACGCAGCCCTCCCCGCCTCTCTGATCAACATGCATGAGCACCTCATCCAGAAAGCATCCACTCACCAAACTCCACTCCCAACACCAGGGAGGCATTTGACCCAGCCCCCCTCGCCCCAGCGGGGTCCCTGGGGGCAGCTGAACGCATTATCCACTGGGAGAGTGGATATTTGGGGGAGGGTGTCATTTTTTGGAATGGCGGGCTTGGGGCTCTCCTCAGGGATTGGGGAGGACCCTCCTTTCTGCAACCCTTTCTTGTCTTCCAGCCGTAAGGGGGCAGGGAAGGGCCGTGTGGGAGGCCGCTGGAAATGAGGACAGCTCGGACGCCCTCACCCCGCCCCCACCTCAGCCTCTGGGAGCCAGCTGAATGACTGTCCTCTCTGTAGCTCAAAATAAACGTGCCCTTTGCAGGCACCTCGAAGTCCTTCAGATGTCATTGTTTTTATTATTTATCTATGTACTTATTATTTATTTTGATTATGTATTCATTTTTATGTATTCATTTAGTTCTATCTATCTCTCTATCATCTACCTATCAATTTATTTTCAATGTCATTATTAATCCAAATCCGGTTTCTTGGTGGCGGTTAACTCACCGACCATGGGGTTGATTCCGACACATCTGGACCCTATAGGACAGGGTGAAACCGTCCCTGTGGGTTTTTCCTAAACTGAAATTCTTTTTACGCCTGGTGGTTTCGAACTGCTGACCTTGTGTGGTAGCAGCCCCAAGCGGGAACGCAGGGCGCCACCAGGGCTCAGGTGGTGGTGGCCCGTGCTTGCGGGCCAGTTAGCGCCCCTGGTGGTGGAAGGACGCACTGCGCGGGCCTGCGCGTCATCACCGCCACCTTCTCCTCCACGCTGGAGCCCCCTCCAAGAAGCCCTGGGGGCCTGTGCGGTTACTGGACGTTCTCACGGGGCAGATGGCCTGGTCCTTCTTCCGGGAAGTGTGTGCTGGGGCCGCCCAGTGGTTCCGACTTGGCGCCCCTAGGAGCAAAAGAACAGAAACCCCTGCCTGCGCCATCTTCACAAAGGTTCCTAGGTTCGAGCCCCTTGTTGCAGCCGTTGTGTCCATCCGTCTTGGCCAGGGCCCTCCCCTTTTTCGCTGCTCCTCTGCCAACCATGCTGTCCTTCTCCAGGGACTGGCCTCTCCTGTCATGTCCAAAAGTCTGAGACCACGTCTTGCCATCCTGGCCTCTAAGGAGCATTCTGACTGGACTTCTCCCAAGACAGATTTGTTCAGTGTCCGTGGCCGGCATCTGAGGATTGTGGCTCAGTTAAGTGGACACATATTTGGGGCTGGAGGTGCCACCATTCAATCCATGACATCGAGGTATCTAGGAGTCACTGGGTGGTCCAAACAGCTAAGGCACGCTCAACTACTGGCCACAAGCTGGGGTGGAAATCGGCTCAGTGGGAACCTACAGGATACGGTATCTTCCTTCTAGCGAATCAACAATGGCAGCTAGGTGATGAGGAAGCTGCTATAGACGCTCCTGTGTCTATAGGGGAGGAAGGGTCCCCCACAGCAGTTGTCGTCGCTGTTGTTGCCGTTGGGTCAGTTGCCGTTAGCAGCTGTTGATGGGTTGCCGTTGGGTCAGTTGAGCCGTTGGTTGCTGTTGGGTCAGTAGAGTCAACCGCCCGCCCAGTCCTGCGCCGTCCTCACAATCGCTCCTCGGCCTCAGCCCACAGTCACAGCCACTGTGTCTACCCATCTCATTGAGCACCTTCCTCTCTTTCCCGGCCCCTCTACTTTACCAAGCGTGGTGGTGAACACAGCAGCTATTGGGCAGGAAAAGGAAATAGAAAAAAGGACAAAAGAAGGCTTCTTCCCTGTCTGTGTTTATATCTGAGAGCAAAATCCATTGAAGGGGTGGAACTGGGTAGGTGGGGGAGTAGCAACTTCAAGACGTTCGTTCTGGGGGGTGGTAGCCAACAGTTAGGGGCTGGAGTCGACCCAGACATGCCCAGGAAGAAAGATCTGGTAACTTACTTCCAACACTACTCTTACAACATGCCCGAGCTGCCATTGGTGGGAATCAACTCCGGACAACTTTTGTTTCTGTTCTTTAAGCGCTGTTGGCTCCAGTTTCTGAGGCAGGGAGTATTGATAGCCACAGTAGGCCAGACACAAAATATCCTTGGTGATCAAAGTCCTTCTTAAACGTAAAAGGCTCCTTTGTGCAGAGGACTCTCCCAAGGGTGGCTCTGACACAGCAGGGGTCCAGAACTGGATTCTGACACACTTTGCCCCTCGCCCCCACACTCGGTAACGGTTCTGAATGCTCCCAGTTCTCCCCGTATCAGAACCCTCTCCATGAAACGCAGACTGATGTCTGTTTTGCTATTGTCGCAGGAAAGGAGGGAACATTTTCTTCTCCTCCTTTTCCTCCTCCTCCTGGGCATTCTCTCTCTCTTCCTCCTCTTTTTCTTCTCCTTCCCCTCTTCCTCCATCTCCTCTGCCTCCTTATCTTCACCCTCCCTCTGAGTTTCTTCTCGGTAGCAGCTAGGAGGGCCTGAGGGGTCCAAGGTAAAGCATCAAGCATTCCACTCCGGCCCTGAGAAGTGAGCAGCTTCCCCTGGAAAGGGGAAGGCAAGAGAGACCTTTAGCAAGTAGAATCTGAAGGGGCAGCGACAACAGCTAACATCGTCTGTCTCTTAATCAGACACTGTATCCCAGCAGCGCTAGCAAACAGAGACAAGGGAGGCTGGCCCAGCTCCCAGCTTGCAGCAGGAACAAGATTTAGGTCCAGGATGGCCAGATCCGGAAATGGAATCCATAACCATCCTAGGAGACCTTGGGTGACACAAATGGCTTGTGTTAAGATGGCCAGCCTGAAGTTTGGTGGTTCGAACCCACCCAGTGGCGCCTGGACCAAGGCCCTGGTGATCTGGGCCTAGAGAACGGACAGTCAAGGGTGGGGCGGAGTTCAACACCGTAACACACGGGATGGACGTTAGCTGGGGCCGGCTCAGCAGCAACAGGTTTGATTTTCATGGTCGAATACTCTTTTTTTTGGTGTGTGTGTGTGTATGTGTGTGTGTGTCAAGGTTAAAGTCTAAAGATCGCAATCAATGCAAAGACTGACAGACAGCAGGTTTGGGTAGGAGCACTTGCCAGAGTTCATGGGGTCGGTTGGGGCCAAGCCCAAACTCATTATCTTTGATGAGTGACGTCTGACTCACAGCCATCGAGTTCACGCTTACTCAGCGTGGCCTTCTAGGACTGCGCAGGACTGCTCCGTGGCACTTCAAGGCTGTCCATCTTGAGAGAAGCGGCAGCCTCGTCTTCATCTCTCCAACCAGCCGGGGGATTCCAACCTCCAACCTCCAACCTTGTGATGAGCATTGCAGCGTTTAACCCCCTGCACCACCAGGGGTCGTCATGACCCATAGAGACCCTCTAACAAGGGGAAAACTCACTGCATTCGGGTCAGTTCTGACTCATAGCAAGCCTGTAGGACAGGGCAGAACTGGCTCCTTGAGTTCCCGAGACGTGACTCCTGACGGGAGTAGAAAGCTCAGTCTTTCTCCCTCAGAGCTGCTGTGCTTTTGATTTGTTGGCCAGGTAGATCGCAGCCTGA